GATCAGAGTCTGCGCAACTGGTAAGTTTCAGATTTCCTATCAAATTATTTTAGAAGAATTCGAGTAAGAATCTCTACATTTTTTTTTTATCCAATTGGACCATAACCTAAATTAGCGAAGTGGGTTATTAGAGAACTTCGGATAATGTGAGATCTCGTGAAATCGAATTGTAATCATATGGTGAGTGATTAATTTGATTCGTGATATTTGTTATGAATGGGGGAATGAGTGATTCCGTGGCTTCTGAATAGAAATTAGGTCACAAAATTGGGGGTGTCTTAGGTGGGATAAAATGAGTTGTAGATTGAGAACACATTTTTGGCCAAATATAATATTAGAAATTGCTTCTTTTACTGACTGAAGTTACTTATTTTCTAGAAAGTAATCGTAAACTTAGCTGAACTTGTGTGCTGCAGCATGGGCAATGATAAAATATCAAGGAGTGGATAGGTCATTCTTTCCTGGTGAATTTCAGTCCAAATTGGACACGAATTTTAGTGGGTTAGGTAATTCTGATCTATGACGTGCTCTAAGAGTTTGGCCCGTGTGATTTTTGAAGTTTAGCTAGAGACTGCCTGGGAAATTATTAAAGTTGTTGTTCTTGCTAAATTCTTTCTGCCACTTGTGCGCATTCGGCCAGTTCTGTGATAATGTATTCTCTACTCTTTTAGAGGGTTAATTGTGATTCCTATATGTGCTGAAACTATTATGTGCATATTTGTTTCTGGTGTTTTTGCCTTGTGAATTTTACTCAAAATTGGAGATCGTTTTTAATGGCTTTGATAGTTCCCATCTTTTATGTGTTCTAAAATTTAGGTCACGAGATTTTAAAATATTAGCATGAAGCTATCTGGTAAATGTTGATTGCTTGTTTACATTTACTGTTATTGCTAATTTAGAACTCCCCTTGTGTACATATGATCATTTCTGCCTTAATGCATTTGGGTACTTGTTTGGCCAAATGTGTTTTGTCATGAATGTACGATGTCTAAATTCTTATGGTGAACTTTCATGCTTGCTCCAGCTTATGCTTGCAATGTAGTGGGTAAACTCCATTTGCGGTAACTATACTTTCACTCTAGTGCCAATCGGCTAACTATACTTATTTGTATTATTGAATAACTACTCTATAATTTGATTTCAAAGGGGTAGTTACACTTTAATTTGATTTCAATCAAGATAACTGTCCGATTCAATTGACGAAAATCAATGACATGATAGTCAGTAGATGACGATCATTACATGCGTCTATCTTTTGCTGTCGTCATTTATTGAAATGACAGTCATCATTTATTGACTGTCACGTTATTGATTTCTGTCGGCCCAAGTAATGAAGTTGAACGGAGTTACTTGATTGAAATCAAATTAGAGTGTATTTACTGGATTGACAGAATTAAATACATTTATCTGATAGACATTAGAGTGAAGTATAGTTACTAAGAATGGAATTTACCTGCAATATGGCAATTATTTGTGCCTCTGGGATGTTATATCTGTTCTATTTAATTGAAGGAGACTTGTATTCTAGTAGTGATTTGTCAAAATCTTCTCTTGACTTCCGGGCGCTAATCCCACACCTATTAGGGAGGAAGAATGCAACAATTGCTATTCTTTTATATTGATAAACAGCACAATTCACTTAAAGATATTAACCTTAGCTCCCTAGATGTTGATGTACAGCTGGCAATAGTGCATAGGCTACTAATCTTTCATGGCATCATGGACCTGATAAGCTATTGAACTCTGTTGAACGGGAAGGTTGTGGCTAGAGCTGGGCATAGTCCGGGAGAATTGTACCGAACGAAAAATTTCGGGTATTTAGTAAGTGGAATCGTCGGGTCCAAATATAATTATGAAACCATTCGAGTTCGGTCCGGTCCGATCCAATTCGATTTTGTTCGGTTCCATACCATAATTACATTTTAAACATATACAACAACACTACATAAATACAACTAATAACATATTCAATTATAACTTTTACAAATTAACGAAGTCCAATTCAAAAAAATATAAATAACAAGTTATCCAATAAAATTAATTTACCAATATATACAAATATCAAAAAGTAGATACTAACACTAAAATATTGGTGATCTATATCAATAATTCATTTGCTTCAGCCTTCAAGTCTACGTAAAAAAATTAAAAAAAAAATCTTGAATTAGAAGTCATAGAGATAAAATATTTTTAAGTATTACTAATACTTACTAGCTATTTGATTTAATCATCGATTGGGCAAAAAAATTGGATTTAGAAATTGGTTGGGTTGAGTCAAACTAGCTAAGCTAGAGCTTGAGAGATGGAGTATCAATCAATCACCTAATAAGGGCCCTTAGCCATAAAGATAAAGACAAGGGAAATGGCTACTTGAAGATAGGCGCTTTCCAGAGGTGGAATTTTCTGGTTCTTCCTATTTGACCCGAAACCGATCAATCTTGCTAGCCATCGTGGGTGGACCGCTTAGCCTGAGCCAAGGGGGCCTACACTTAACAAGGGAGCCACTCTACCCTTCAGCTTCTAATCGATTTGCTTCTCTGCAGACAGAGGAAGACACTCATGAAGTGGACGAATAAGTTAATTTGTTTAGAAAAAATTAAAATAAATTGATTTATTCAATATAAAAAGAAAAATTAGAAAGATTCGGTCTTTAGACCTAGAACCAAACCGTACCGTACCCGTTGGTTCTCGATTCAGGTATCCGTTCGAGTATTTAACTTGAGAAAAACCGTCGGATTCAGTTCGGGTTAGGGAGTTTTGCCCCGCCCTAGTTGTGGCAAGAGGATAAGAAAAAGAAAAACAACTATATACACAACTAAATAGTCATATAAAACTTAGTAGAAGCTAAATTAAGATTAATGGTTCCCATCAGTATCACAACAGAATAATTTTAGGAAAAATAATTAGTCAAATGTTTCATGTCCAATTGTCATATCGTTACCTTTTGTGTCGTTTTGAACATGGCTGAATGGTCTCTTTTCCTTTGTTATTATTAAGGTACTTTGACAGCCCAGGTTGTTTCTTCTCCATTTTCCTTTTCCTTGCGCAGTTTAATTGTTTTTCATATCCTGGCCGTACTATTAATAGTAAAAATCTGGGGACATTGTTTCTTAGTAATCGGAGCAATTGAAGTAAAGCAAAGCTTCAGAAAAAATATAGCAAGAAGATGCAATGGGAGCATCCGGTGGGCCAAAGCTTTCAGGAATGCAGAAGCAAGTGCTTGCTTTGTACAGAGGATTCCTTCGAGCAGCACGCACCAAATCTCCAGAAGAACGAATTCGGATTGAGTCAATAGTGTCAGCGGAGTTCCGTCAGAATTCCAAGCAAGTTGATCGCAAGAATTTCCTCTACATTGAATACTTACTTCGCCGTGGTAAGAAACAGCTTGATCAGCTTAAGAGCCCTGATATTGTTGGATTATCTTCGTTAAATGTTGAAATTTCTCAGATTAAAAAATCTTAAGTGAGAAATAAACGTTAATTCTTTTAGCATTTTTGCCTTTGTCGGGAGAAATTTATCTCTTTTAGTAGCAATGAGAAATTTATTATTTCCTCAAACTGCTTGTTATTTGGATTATTTATACAAGATATCTTGGTATGTTAAGGATGCTGCTTTGCAAGTGAAAATTACGGTAAACAACCTTTACTTTTATTTACATTGAAACATGGAGCAATTCTGAAACAAAAATTTATTAAACACTTGTGTGATTATTCTCACAATGGATACCTTTTTTTATTACTATACAATTGATTCTTTTAGAAGCACGACAACACTAAATCAAACTAAATTGACGTATTCAACTATGATAGATACAATATTAAAATAAATATTTTAATTAACACACGATCATTTTCAACCACACACATTCTCCCATAAAATAATTATATATGTATGTCAAAAAAATTTCCTTACTTCTTAATCACATATTCTCCAAAAAATCAATATACCATACATAATACGTTATACCTCAAAAATGAGAATCAACACAGGGGCTTAATAGAAAACAAGAGTATTTGCCGGTGTAAAATAAAAATAAAAGTGTTTGCCACCTTACATAACCAAGGTCATCAGCATATCTAAAGCCCTTCTTTGACTTCCATATTTTTCCTTCAAAATACATTCTTTAAAAATGATTTATGACATGTTTGAGCCACATTATTTTAAAAAAATATATTCTTAAACGGTGATTTGACATCATTTCAACCACACATTATTCAATAAAATAATATTACACGTAGATCAAAAAATTTTCCTTATTTTTTAACCACACATTTCCCATCAATACACTATTCAAGAATAAATTATTACCAAAATAATGTGGCTCAAACAACCCCTAACCTCATTATAACCACAAATTTCCCAAAAAAATAATAATACACGTAAATTCATGACTTATTTTTATTTTTTAATCATACTGTTGACATACAAAAAGTTCAGCCCAACTCGAATAGCCCAAGGAATGAAACCCAATTGGAAGATCCCCAAAATCAAATAGCCCAAAAGAACGACCTAATCAGGCAATACAAGATAAAGGCCCAAATAGGGACGCCCATGAATGCGGTAATACCATCGCCCAAGGTTGCAAGTCGCCCAAGATTTGAGCGAATGAATTGTCATGTAGTCGCCCAGAGCTGTGACCCCGCTTTCGTCCAAACATTCAAGTCGCCCAGCATCTTGGCAAACATCAGATGTTATGGTTACTCAAAAAGTGCAGTTAATAAAGCAGTTATTGGGTAGTCCTATTACGTTCCACGATTCAAGGAATTCAATTGAAGACGGTTGAACGACAAAAGTAATGGCAACAGGCAGTTTCATGACAAGTTGGCCACTACAAGGAAAGTGGGCAGTTATAGAACGATCAAGCAATTTTTAAGCGGTTGATCATGAAGAAATCGTCCAAGGAATATAAAAGGAAGAAAAGACATAGAGCAGAGAACCCCAAATCAAACACTCTCAAACAAAGAATATATAACTTTCAATTTCTTAGTTTAAGTTTAAACACTTCTTTTACAGTAACTCGTGTGCTTGCGCCCCTTGGAGGCATTCTGTTTTTATTTTCCAATTGTAAAGTCATTGTCAACAAAAACGCCCCTTTTTGGGGTTTTGTCTCAAGAGGTTTGTCCCTTCCACAATCGTCTGATCCCTTTTTAATTGTTAGCGACTAACCCGCGCGAAACAATTTGGCACACCCAGTGGGACAGTGGTGTTTGGTGTTGAAGATACAAAAGGTGAAACAATATGTATCAGAGATTCGATAAGGAAGCAGCAAGTCAGGGAGGAGTCCAGTCTGTGATCGAGCGATATGAGGAGTATCATAGCTCTCCACGAACAGATGGACAGAATCAGAGCAGTAACATTCGTTACGAATCAATGGTAGAGTTGAGTCCTCGAACTATGCATGCACTACTTGGAGAACTCACACAAGATGTCGTTGAACACGTAAATCTTCGAAATATTTATAATATGGAAAGATTTATCCAGAATGGGAATGCACATTATGACAACATGGCCAAACAACTGAATACTTTGAATGAAATAATGAATAAGTTAGTAGGCCAAATTTGTCAACCAGTTATGCCTCTTGCAAACCATTTTCAAATTAGGACAATTGTGGGACATAATCCCCCAATCCTAAATCCAAGTCAAGGGGTAGAACCACATTTCGGTCCCTCTACTTCAAACCAAGGGGATGGTGTAATGCCAAATCAGAATAATGGTAGTGGTACGCCTAATTTGGGGGGTAATCCAAATGTAAGAGATAATGTCCTAAATAACGGACAGAATACTCCACGTGTTAATAAGGGAATAAATGTTCAGGCTAATGGTAACAATGACCCAAATCATGGTATTATTCCTAATCAAGGACCAAAAATCAAGCCTCAAGTAAATCAATCGGTCAACCAACCTGTAGGGATTCCATATGACCCCAACGTCATGTTGAGGAATCAGATTATGGAAATCGTACAGGACCAGATGGCCTTTGGGGTACGTCCTATCATTAGGCCGACTTACACAAAGTCATATCCTGATTGGATTGACCAAGCATATACATGGCCTAGAGGGTATAAAGTGCCAGAATTCTCACTGTTTACCGGTTTATGGGAAGTGTCTACCCTAGAACACATAGGACGATTCACACTGCAAAGTGGTGATGTAACTGATTATCATAAAATGAAGCTTTTCCCTAGTTCATTAACAGGAGTAACTTTCTCCTGGTTCATCAATTTGCCAACAAATTCTGTTCAAACATGGCAACAATTGGAACAATTATTCCACGCTCAGTTTTATAAGACTGAGTCTGAAATTACTTTGGTTAATTTGGCGAATCTACGTCAAATGCCAAACGAATGGGCAGAAGGTTTCCTCTAAAGGTTCAAGACAGCAAGAAGTAAATGTTTTGTACCTCTGCCCGAAAAAGAGTTTGTCAAAATCGCTCAAGGTTGTTTGAGCTTTGATTTAAAAAAGAAATTTCAAGACAAGGAATTTCCTGACCTTTTCCAATTGAGTGCAAACGTGATTAGGTATGAACGATTGATAAGAGAAGAAGAGCAGATAAAAAATTCTAGCAAGTGGACTTATTATAGAGACCCAAATTTTGATGTTCATACCATCAATGACGAGTTATACGATCAGACCGAAATGTATTTGGCCGAATTAGTCAAAGGAGACACGTATACTTGTCCCATAATGGCTAAGCCTAGACCATCGGGCAAAGATGAGCCTAGGAAAGATGAAAACATAAAAGTTAGAACGTTCTCGTTCGATGTAACTAAAGCTGACCTTATATTTGATAAATTATATAAGGATAAGCAGATAAAGTTGAGTGATAAGCATAAATTGCAAAACCCTGAACAGATTAAGGGTAAAAAATATTGTAAGTGGCATAATGCATGGTCACATTTGACTAACAATTGCTTGGTTTTTCACCATGTGTTACAGGATGCCATTGAATCAGGACGAATTACGTTCGATGATAAGAAGAAGATGGCAGTGGATGAAAATCCTTTTCCACAGCCACTTGGAGTGAATATGGTGACGTCTGGTTTCAAAAACAAGTTGCCAAAATTCAAATTGGTTATAGATGATGGAGAAGAAGACCCTGGATCACATCCCAGTGTCTTTGAACGTATTAAAGGGAAAGAGCTAAAGAATGATGAAGACGTCTTGTGTGCAAGATGTAAAAGAGAAGTGAGTGGGAATACGGAGAAACCACCAGGGATATGGCAGCATTCCCATCGCCCCACTCTCCTCCCAAACGCTCAGCCTGGTAGAGGGCGAGGTACATCGTTCTACAAGGGACCGCCTTTTGAGAGGCAGTTTAGGTTAGTAGATAATGGGAGAACATTCAGGTTGCAACCTCGCCGACCAAATGTATGACATTCATTCCAGTATAATGCAGGAAAGGCAATACCCTTCGACGAGATGACTAGAACCCAACAAAGGCATTTCCAACGAAATTATGGACGAATGATGAGGCATCAACAGAGAGTGCCACGTCCTAAAGCGCCTAAACTACTTAAGGTAGCCAATCAAAATGTTCTCAAAGATAGTGAAGAGACCGGTACAGATGAATCAATGAAAGAGTTGCCAGAAACTTCTTCTGAGAGATCGAAATTTGAACGAGACAGAAAGGATGAAGAAGATCCAGATCAGCTCCTTACTATTCAGTTCGGTACGTTACCTCCTGTTGTGGCTAATAACTATTTACTAGCCAATGAGTTCAAGAATAAAGAGAAAGAAGAAGAAAGAGAGGATGACGAAGGAGAAGCATGCGTGCTGGAATATGAAGAAGGCTAGACTTCTAGAGAGGCCTACAATGGTGAGGAAGATGATGGAATGACAGACATTGAAGAGAAAATCGACCTGGAAGCAGAAAGGAGAAGAAGAGGAGTATCGTACAATACTCTGTTGAAGCAATTACATCGAGAGGGAGTTCGTGAAGTAGA